AAAAAAAAAAAAAAGGATGGAGGTAGACTTGGCATTGTTAGGCAAGAAATCTGGAGGTTTCCAGAACCTGATAATGATCCTGCAATGCATCACTGAATGGCTTGACATGGTCATTTCCCTCGTGGCATTGCATGTTCCTCTTTACTTCATGACAAAGGGTATGGATGGAGGAGGGCCAGGGTAGGGTCCCACTGCCCAGTTCTAAGGACACCACAACCCAGTTATACTAATTTTTTTTTTTCTTTAGGTACTGGGGATTAAACTCAGGGCCTTCACACGGAGCTACATTCCAAGCATCCTCTACCCCTTTATTAAAAAGTTGCCCAGGCTGAGCTTGATCTTGTGATCCTCCTGATTCAGCCTCCTAGAGTGTTGGAGTGCCACCATGCCCAGCTCTGAAATTATTTTTAATTGAATAAATGTACCATTTACCTTGCCAGTGCTGTTTTTCTCTGTACCTGAAGCACTTCCACCGCAAGAGGCTGAAACCTGCAGCCCAGTTAGTGTCTGAGACTTATATAAGTATCCAAGAGCTAAGAGTTTCGGTGACTGGACTCTCTTGACCAAGGTGGCATCTGTTCCTTTGTGCCAAGGCCTATTGCTCTGACACAATTGCTCCTGGCCCCGTGGCTGGGTATTTGGCCCAACATTCTGCCCAGCATACAAGCAGTGCTTACTGGGCTCAGTCTCACTTCTCAGAAGGTGACTGTACTGCAGATGAGCATGAAGTATCAAGTGTTGGTGTCACTGTCCCACTTAGTCCTTGTAGCAGTGTCCAGTGGGCCATAAGAGAGGAAGAGGCTGATTTCAGTTCCTAACACTGAATCTGACCTTCCCCATATGGAAAGAACAGGGCAAGAGTGGCAATGACAGCTGGCAAAGGTGCCCGCACCCCTCCCCAGGATGCTCTATATTCCATCCAGTAGTGGAACTATAATCTACCCAGTAGCACCCTGGTCATATTTGGGTTTGGCTACTGTAAATAATAACATGCTAATGAAAATCTTTACATAGAGTTTCTTCCTTCCTCTGGGTACCAAGTACTGTTTCCTTTCCAAAACCTTTGTGTTCCTGGATACTCTGACTAGTTATCTTTGAGAATGGCTGTCACTGTATTCTTGCCAGTCTTCTGTGTTTGTTTTGTTTGTTTTTGTTTTTTTTGGTACCGGGGATCGAACTCGGGTCCTTGCGCTTGTGCAGCAGGCGGCGAAACCACTGAGCTAAATCCCCGGCCCCAGTCTTTTGTGTTATAATTTAAACACATTCTTTGACAATGCCGACAGCTGGCAAGTGGCATCCTGTTGCCTGTACATGAATGTCT